AATAAATTTTTCGAAATTTATTTCAAAACACTTGAGGCGCTACTCTTTTCCAAATCAATAATCAATACTTATCAATCATCAATACTCAAACCTTAGTACTCATTCATCAATAATCAATAATCGAACACTTCAGTTCAATAATCAATAACAAACTCAATTATCCAATACTCATATAATCCTAGGGAATACATTCCCTATCAATAATCCAGTAATCAATAAGACAATAATAACAATAATTCAATTTCAAGCGGAAGAAATAACAATTTTTGTGACCACCACTCGCTTCCCTCCACTGTTCCTGCCATACTAACCTGCATCCATGAAGAGCAGGTTGGGATGAGCACAAGAAGAAACAGTAGTGCTCACCACTATGCAGTAAATGTTAGCCTCAATAATAAATAGTAATCAATAATCGAAAGTTATGGTCTCAGCATGTATATGAATCATTATTTTATCCCATCTCATGTCAATAATATCTACTCCTGTGCACATCTCTATAAAGCTACTGAGTGTCTTCGTATCGATCGCCTTCGTACAGGCATTACATCGGCGCCCACTCAGTAGGAGTATCAATCGATCGCCTCCGTACAGGTCTTACAACGACATACATATCTAAAGCCTCCGTACAGGTCTTACATACGATATGGCCTCCGTACAGGACATAAGAAGACTGCCTATCATTAGGCACCGTCGAAGGGCATAAAGCTCACATCGATGGGGACTACCGTATCGACGGCCATATTAGCTCACATCGATAGGCTACCAGGTTCACATATATACATTGATCATACCGCATAAATAATTTATAACATTTAAAGCATAGTAATTTCAAATAAAACCCACCTGGAACTTGGGTAGGCAAAAGCACGCAAGCTGAAGAACTAGGTCGAGGGCTCGACTCTTCAAACCTAAAAATTAAGGATTTAATTATTATTAAGGGTTTTGATTCGGTTGATCAAGCCACACAACAACAACAAGCATATCACAACATCAAGAACAATATTTAACCAAATAAAGCACACGGCTAAAACAACATACTAGCCTCTCTTATCCTCTTTGACTTTAAGGCCACTTAAGCATGCTTCTAAACATAAACTTAAGCATAAAAATTCAGCATGAAACACCACCTTTCATAAACCGCATGCTAACAGCCCCAATATCATTGAAATTAACAAGACAAATTTAATTCATAACTCAAGCTCTGCTTTTGGCTCCAGAAGTAAAGCATGCACTCAACTTTTCAAACTAACACTTAAGCTCACATAATCTCTGAAACAAGCACATCATCATCACACAAACCACACTTTAAAAAAATCTCAGAAATTTTGCAAAGATTGCAAAAAGTCAATATAATTTTCTTCAGTAACTAAGCTACTTTAAGAATGCCTTTGAAGTTGAGATTTTAACATAGAAATCAGCATATCATCAACATGTTACAGGCACCAAAGATAGCCATATTCAACATCCTCTATAAATGCAATGTAGCCAGGTAAAGGAATCACATCAAGCATCACTTATTCACAATACTAAGGCATGAACCCCAACCTCAAAATTTCAAAGATATGCTATGCACAATAACATTCTCTAAATTTCAAAGTTCTCAATACAGTTTTTAACTCATATAATTTTAAACTCCAAACCACAAGATTCACAGCCTTTGCCCCAAGTCCACAAGATCTGAAATTCGCCAGATAACACAATTATACACACTAATTCTACACACAACAATCATTCTCAAATCTCACAATACGAATTCACAACAAGGATCTAAATGTACGAAGATACAAGAGAAAAAATGAGATTTACCACATTCCTCGATTCTACACGAAAGAAGGAAAGAAGGGTTGAGGCTCGAACACAGTCACTCGCAGTCACGGTAACACTCGGCTCGATGCAGCCCGGGCACCCACAAGCTCTCAGAAAATGGCTCGGATTACCTCAGCCCGGTGGCCCTCAACTACTCACCCGGTTGCCGACGACACCCCTGGCGTGCTCGCTGGAGCATTTCATCGAACACCTTCAGGGTGTCTGCTCGCATTACCAAATAAATGGGTCTGATGGCTCTTCAGCCAGACTCTCTTCGATCGAAGGCTTCTCAAACACTAGGTCGCCGCTCTTTTGCACTCGGTCCCTCGAATAGTGGCGCCTCATCCTGCATACAGAACCCGCCTTGACACAAGAGT